GAATCTTCTAATGAAGATTTCAGTATATATCTATATGTTATATGTATAGGCAAAAGGAGTAAAAAATGTGTAACTTAAATCTCTGACATCTTCTATACATCTAGACTATGTGTAATCTACACTCATATAACCTATAATTTAGCTTCAATAGGGTTAATATCGGTTCATGAAAAATGAAACAGTCTCATGATTACTCACCTAAATATGGTATAACGTATGGATATGGGATGTAAATACTCTTGTTTTTTTCGTAAATAAAAAGTTTTGGAAGAAAAAAAACATATATCTACAACTACAACTTCTAAAATCAGAAAGTTCAAAACCAATACAATAATATTAAAACAATGAATTATGAAAATATTGTTAGATTTTAGCTTTTGTTTTTGGTTCAGTTTGATTCAAACCAAATGTGGGTTCACGTATGGTTATACTGAAATTTGGTTCACTCTTAATTTTGGCTTTTATGATGGAAAGAAACTTCACCATCTTGAACCCATAAAAGGAAGTTGTGTTGGTTAACTCGGTATGTTTAAGCTTCTACCAAATCAATTTATTTTGGGTTAGTGATTGCTGACCGGTTGACTTGTAAAGAATGGTTTAGACTCGTAACTGGGTGAGGTGTGCCTGGCCTACGCAATAGTGCAAAACGTAGGCGACACGTGAGTGTCCGATCAGCAAGCTGACATGGCAAACTCTCTCCCCTAGAGAAAAATAAAGTTAATATCACGTGGAACCAATGGACCACATTATCAGAGATATTAAACTAACAAGAACAGATACTACACTTGATCTTCGCCAATAGGCCGAGAAATATATTTGGAAAGATGGTGAAGGGTCGTCTTTATATGCGTTGTGTTAGAGCGAGTGAAACCTAAATTATAGATGTGGGACTTCTAAAACCAAACCGACTGAGGTAATCAAAGTAATTAGAATTCTGGGCCAATTTGTTGCCCATTATATACACCTCAAAAACTTGAACTACCGAAGCTGGTCTTACTTGAAATAGAGCTGGACAAGTTTCTTAAAGGTTTCAAAGACAATTGTGAAGGGATCAAACTGGACTGATTTTCTCAATCCAAGATCTGGAAACTGGCTTGTCAGCGTTTGCTCCATACCTGGCATGGACATCATGGCAGCTAACTGACCATCAGACATCACTTCACAGTCATGTGGAGTATCCTTTATTTTCTCCGGGTCATAGCCAAATTGCGCCAAATAGTTCTTGTACTCGGCGATGAACTTAGGACCTGGATTCGGCGTCCTTGAATACACCTGACATATCAAAACCCATTGAAGTTATATGTATAAGAGAATGCTACATCAAACCCCATGAGTTACTTTTCTTGAATCACCTGAACAAAGCCCTTGTCTTTGGCCCCAGAAACAAGAGCGTAGTTGTCGTAGTCCGTGGCTATGTCATCAGAAGGCAACTTGGGAATGAAAGGAATTGTGGGAAATCGAAGGAAACACTTCTCTTTGATCATCTCTCTCTTCTCTAAGTCAGTCTCGCTTTTGTCCAAGTCTTCCGCACCCACGCATTGAACATTTCCTCTAATTCCTGTTATATACCCATCAAGGCTGCCGTAAACACAAAATGTATCTACCTTGATGGCTCCTTCCTTCATATCAAACCCTACAATGGGTGAGAAAAGTCTTATTCTGAATATTTCTTATTCTCGATGCATTTTGACCATAAAAGTGGTGGTTTTTCAAGTTGAAGAAAAGAGTTACTTGGGTACAATGGCAGTCTTCTTGGCCCTGACCAGCAAAACCACGCTTAAGAGAAGCTACTTTAAACCATCTCCCAGAGTACCTAACTACGTATATCTGATTCTGTAAGCATTTCCAAAACCTAACTAGATAAAGTTACGCATTGATGATGATATTGAGGTTGGTCGGAGCTAATCAAGTTGTGGGGCACGCGCGTACCATGTACAAGTAGCAGCAAGTGGAGCGAAGCTACGGGGAAAAACTGGTATCATTCTCTCTCACTGATTTTAATTTTAATTTGTGTCCTGCTTGGTTACTGGCTTACTGCCAGAACAACTTTATTGTCTCAATAATAAACGTTGTCGTTTTAAGAGTGGGGCCCACAGAAAATCTCCATTTTTTGTTTTTTTCAGCAACCCACAAGAAATTTCAATAAACATATAGAGCGTCTAGGAGTGAGACGGATCCGAATATCCTAGAATTTCATAGTATCCAGATCCATGGGAGTCATGAAAATCGTATCCGGATCTGGATCTGTGCCTTCGGATATCCGTACTTTAGATATCCGACCAAAAATCAGGATATCCTGATCCGGATGCGGATCTGAAATTAATATTAAAAATAAATAATTTTAAAAAAATTATTAGTTAAATTTTGAATG